CTCGCAAACCGCCCGGTACATTCCAGGCATAAACACTAAATAAAAAATTGTATACATTTAGCTTCCAAGTTCCCATTTTTATTAATAATCAAAGACATATATACACTCTAATATGAATCAAATTCTCCAATTCAATTCATCCAACAAATAATCGAACTAATCCAATCTAGTTAAATTCAAACCTTTTTTATTCAATTCCAAATGAATGGTGGATTCATAAATTGTATATTTGGAAAATTACAGTAGTACCTACACTTTTTATATTTTACAGTTTGATACCTAAGTTTTTATTTTTTTTAATTACAATATTATTAAAAATTAGGTGTCTAAAATTTTCCATAATGACATTTTAGTACCTAAAATTTTCAAAATAGTCCAATGTTTAGTGTCATTTGGATCCATGAATCCAATACAACTATTAATTTGATCCAATCCATCAAGCATCAATCCACATATCCATGAATCTATCCAATTACCGCCAACAACTAATTTTACCACATTTCTTTTTTAGAGTATGAGCAGTACGATTATTATTATGTTATATTACGAGTATTATAATGTAGTTTAACAAAGTTATATTTTTTATTAGAGTTGTAGAAATAAAATAATTTTTGTTTCAGTATTAGGTTTCAATAATAATAAGTAGTTGGGAGTTTGAAAGGAAGCAAATGGCAAAACCAAGACCTAGAGGCTAGAGCTACATGCATATTGTTTTGGTAGGCGCCGGCAACTTGCAAAGCTGGCCACATTGACATATTCCCGGGCCATGTTGGGTGGGCTCTATACTCGCAAAGATGTGATTATGCTTTGCTAACTACTTGTTATGCATCCAAAAGAATTATGCTTATTACGTGCCACCAAGCAAGCCCTCAGTGCCCAAATCGTAGGCTGGGAAAATAGAATATAAAGATTTAAAAACGGATAAATGCCACATTTGGTCACTGAGATTGTTAATTTGTGACATGTTTAATTACTAGAAAATTTTAATATCAATTTTGGTCATTCGAATTACTGAAACATGTCACATTTATTCACTCTCCCGTTAGCCTACGTCCAACTCCGGTCACTCGAATTACTGAAACATGTCACATTTAGTCACTCAAATTACTGAAACAGGTCACATTTAGTCACTCTCCCATTAGTTTCCGTCCAACTCCGTAAATGGGTAAATGTCATATTTGCTAATTACATCAAATTAATTACACCAAAATGATCAATCTCCTAGCAATATATTTACAAGTTCATATATTGAAATAATACATCTAATTAAAATACATAAATTGGTTTTTTTACAACAATTTAGACAATCTTAAGTCTTAACCAGTGCAGTCAAAATCGCACTTTTAAACTTAAAAGCTTACGCTTTTACCTTTTTAGGTCACCAAAACGCTTCTACGTAGAATCGTGATTTTCCCTTACAAATGTAGTCAAAATCTACGCTTCAAAACTTAAAAACTTACGGTTTTACTCTTTTAGGTCACCCAACCGCTTCTAGATAGAATCGCGCTTTTGACTGCATTGGTCTTAACTACCAAATATGGCCTAAGAGTGATTTGCAGGGAACTGAAAGTATTGTCACTAGTTGCTTTCATCTATCTAGTATTCTAGCTATTAACTTACTACGGTGTGTTTGGACATGTGTATTTTAAATACCGTGTATTTTGAAATGCATGTATATGAAATACTTGCATCTAAAATACACGTAATTCAAATATATGAATGTAGATTAGTGAGATTGTTTTAAAATATGTCAAATATATGCATAATCTATTTGGTACTAGAAGTTTTCTCACATATCATGTTAAAACTGACTTGAACTGGTTCAACTCTATCCGACCATTAAAGCTTAAACCACTTGTCAAGTCGGCTCGATGGATTTATCCAATTTGACAACCTTTATAGTTACCAATAATAGTAATCCAAAAATATTCTTTATTTTACATTTTTAAAAGTCGATGGCCGGCATGTATTGCACTTAGAAAACATTATTGTTATTTGATAGTATAAAAAACAAACAACTTCTTGTCATGTCAAAGTATGATGCGGGACATTTGGGTGACTCGCAATTCACCCGAATAAATGTGAATAAAATATTTATCAATGCTCAATCCACCTACATCAATCTGCCCACAGGGGCAGACGACACCCCTTCGTCCGAAAATTTTGTGAAGGACCTCCATTTTTTATTTACAAAAAATTTAACTTGAGAATTGCGACACCACTCTAATACTTATAAGCGACACACCTTCATTACACGACAATAATTTAATTGTTATAAAGTTATTCATCATAATTAGTAATTAACAATAATAAGTAAAATCAAATAAGCATACTTGTTTTAAAGTAACCCACAACCCAAATTTCTCCCAAATTAACTTGTCAATTTGTAGTTAATAGGTGAATTGAGTAGATTTATGGTAGTTTTTGCTTTGATTTTGGTTAATTTGTTAGAACTAGAGAAAAAAATACTAATGATATGACTTTAGGTATACTTTATTTTGTCTGAAGTTGTCATTTGGTAGATTGTGGTGTACTATATTTGATTGAAAACTAATTTATTTTAACTTTGATTTTAGGCGTGACTCGATTTTCGTCGTTTTAGTGACTAATTTATGAATGATTATATGGTTATGCACATCGAAAAAGGTTTGATTTGAAAAATAAGCGATAAATGTATTTTAAAAAAATTCAGGATATGAAAAATCGTCATGATTCGAAGTAAACATGACATTGTGAACTTATGAATTAAATTCTAGTATTTTTTATTTTTATCTATTTATTTTTTATTTTGTATCATTTTTTATCGGCGACACCCCTTTTCGACAATTCTGGGTCCGCCACTGCTCGCCCACTACAATTCAAATTATTTGCAACTCGATAGTTAAATCTCAAGTTTTGGTTGTGATTGTTTGGTAGAGATTGTTGGGTTTTGTTTTGTTCCAACTATGTCCCTACCTTTTTTTTGTGTTGCTTTTTTAATATTAAAAACAAAGGGCAAAAGTGACATTTCATCCAAAAAGTAATATAACTTATTTTAATATTTGAATAACTATCACAGAAACCAAACAATGTAAACTACAATACAACAATTTTCTTACATACATGTATATTATTATGCATGCATTGATAACATTGTATCAATTTAACTATCACCAAAACCAATCCTCAAAAGTCAAGAGCTACTCATCCACCCCACCTTCCCACACAAGACACAAGGTCTCATTGAACTCGTGTTTTTCAAGGGTGTTTGGTTTTGGTGATTGTTTGGCTGGGTTACAATGCATTTTTATAAAAAAAATTTGCACAAACAATACATGAATTGTTTACTTGACTTGTGACGTACCTTCATATGTCACCTGAAGCTTATCCCATATCTCCTTGGCGGTCTTACACCCAGCAACTTTGTGATATTCTTCCGGTCCTAAGGCACAATACATCAGATTTGTGGCCTTGCAATTCTGTTGAAACTTCTCATAATCTTCTTCAGTCCATTTCTCTTGATCAGCTTTGAGTTCATGCGGCCCTTTGATTACCCTTGCCCACAGCTTTGGATCAGTTGATCCAACGAACAACTCCATTCGATTCTTCCAGTACCCATAGTTTACTCCTTCGAACCTTGGTGGTCGATTTTGAGAGAAACCATCTGCGAGATAGAGTGGTGCGTTGCTAGCTGACCCAGACGCCATCCTTGGATCCTCCAGAGGTTGTTAAACCCTTTCCAACTGGTAACGGAGCTCTGATACCACGTGATACTGGCGTCGAGCGCGAGATGCCAGACTGCTGGAGCTTTCCTAATCGCCTCTTTCACCTGAAACCCTAACTCTCTTTTCGGTCGAAGATCAGTGAAGAACAAAAGAGATCAAAAACAGAAAAAACTGACTCAATTAAAACAACAAATGATATCTCTGGGTTCGAGTATGTTGTTATAATTTACTATTGGGCTCGATCTGTAAAGCCCACGAGAACACAATTTTAAGCCCGATGTTTAGCCCACAGAAGCCTCGTTGTGGCTTCAGTTAATCCGCTGCGTTGGGATTGACTTTCTTGCCTCAACTCACCGTTTCAGTCAACTCCCAAACCTCTGCGTTTCAACCTTCTCTTTTTACCTTCCCGGATCAATTACAGAGACTCACTTCCCCTGTTCTGGTCGAGCTCTGAAACCTTGCAAAACAGAGTAAACAATTTAGCTTAAAAATAAGAGAAGACGCAGGCGATTTTTACGTGGTATCCAGAGCTGGGAAGAATAATCCCAACTCTGACTAATCCACGGCCGGAGGATCACAATCCAGTGATTTCCGACGTTTCACTACGATCACTGTTCTTGATAGTATTACACGATTACACCAAGGAGCTCAGTTGATCCAATCCTGAAGATCAACCAGTTCTCTCAAATTTGAATTCACTCAGCTATCCAGCTACTGTGTTTAACCTAAACACTCCCCCAATTCAACGTCTCTCCAGAAATTGAATTAGTCTCCCCTTTTCGTATCAATCTCACCAGCAACTCTCTATTGCTCTACTTCTCAGATTGATCTCGCGAAAAAGTGATTCCTTTGATTCAGAGACGTTCTTCTTATACACCACAGGGACTAGCCGTTGCAGCTTCAGGGATGGCAAGATTCTTCTTTGAATTCTTTCCTTGTAAACGTTCTCCCAATAAGTTGTTCTGCTCCCAGAATATCTTCTTTCCTCGAACTGTGATTCATATTAAAGCTGACCCATTTCACCCTTGATTTCTTTCCTTGTTCTTCTGATTTATGACTGACTTTCCTCCAACAGATAGTTGGTTTTTTGGTACCAAATCCTTGAAGCAAACGACCCTTCATAACTTGGGGTCGGCAAGCAGCCAAACCCACATTCTACCACTAGCCCTGCATGACACTACACCTGACCTACATATATGGCCATTACTACAACGTGCCATTTCTACAAACTAGACATAGCCTCTCTACAACGTGCCATTTCTATATGTACACTATAACTCTAGTCTCTCGCTATCCTCACTGCTTTGAGAATATAACCAGGACTAACATGGACATGGAAGCTACAATCTCGAAGCTGGAGGTTTCCCAAAACTTATGCTTTTCGTTGCTGAATTCCCTACCAACAGCTTGTTTCGCCGCTAATTGGTTCTGAAGCTCCTTGATAGCTTTGTCCCTTCTCTCCCCCATCTGTTCCAACAAAATTCCAATAATCTAAGAATGAAATGGGACGTTCATGTTAAAGCAGCTAATGGTGAAATTAAGCCACTGAAGAAACAAGTTACCCTTAGGAGCTTTCTTGTCTGGGAACGGGCCTCCTGAAGACAGAATTCTAGCTTCAAAACCCTCTTCTTCAGTTCTTGATCAGCTCGTTTCTGCTTCTCCAACTGTAACATAAAGATTGAAACTCGTAAGGCAAAAAAAAAAAACAGAAATTAGAAAGAAATTGAAAATGACAGTAGTTGAAGAAAAGGATTAAACCCCCACCTGAGATTCCAAATCATTGGCCTTAAGCTTCCAGTGAGCAGACATGACCCTTATCTCATCTCTCAACTTCCCTATCTCTTCGTCCTTGCCAATCAAAAGCTTGTTCATCTTCTCCAAATTCTTAGGGGACACCTCATCCAGAATTTTCCTCAGCTCACAGTCTCTGCTATCCCCAGCGCTCGCAACTGCTTGCATAATGTCATGCTCAATTCTCAACACTTCATCTTTGAGTTGCTTTTGTGAAGATTCCCTTTCTTCGAGATCCTTGCGCAAGCTGTCTAACTGCTCTCCTAGTCTAGTTACACGATCTTCCTGCTCTTTTAAAGTAGTAGCCTTGGAATCTAGCTCCTTTACTAATGCCAAGCATTGTAACTGTGCAGAATGTGCTGATGGCGCACTTGCATCTGCAGTTGCTTGAGTGGATGCAAACTGGGATCTCAGACTACCCAAATCTTCGAGGTACTGCACCAAATGGGAAGCATCAATTTTCCATCAGATCCGCTCATAATAGATTGTTCTTCTCAACCACAAATTAGATCACTAGGCCTGTCTAAGGTTCTCCCAACTCTATAGTAACTAGATCATAATTAATTGCTTCACAAACTATCACTTCAAGCCTTCAATTGTAGACAAAAATGGCAACAGACAGGCAAAAAGCAACAGACTTTAGGGACATGAACAAATGGGCATTTGGCTGCGGCACAATCTGGTTGAGTTCTCTAAATGGAACCTATTAAATGGAAGCACAGAAGAATAGGTAATGGCATGTAGTAGTAGACTAGTAGTGACATCTCTATCTAGTGCAAAAGATACAATCATCTAGTAGACTAAATGTTAGTTCCTTTTTGGGAAAACACTTATAGTTGCATTCCTTGAAGATAATAGAGCATCACTTGTACCAATGTTTCTCAATCAGAGCATAATCATCTATATAAGGATCATAAGATTACAAGAATCGGCTGAAAAAGATAAGAGAAGACCTCCTCAATACTTCCAACTATGGAGACAGTTCCTTTAGATCAACGAGGAGTTTACTTTCCACACTGGTGGGCTCCTCTAGATAAGGGAAGAAGCAATAGAAATGTGGGGGGAAATTACAAGCAAAAGAAGGCAAAAAGGTAGTGGCAAAAATTGCTAATCATGGTGATGGAGGAGGGAGGCATATGCGGATCAAAGAATAAGCAAGACAAATCCATTATTATGGAATCATGCTTAAGATTCACAAAATTATACAAAAGGAGAAAGCAGAAACCAGGCAAAGATTGAACCCACTAAAGAACAAAAATCAAAGCAACCAAAAGCCAAATGGAAAAGGCAAAAATGGAAAAAAGAATTCAGGTAGTGTGAGGATGTGGGCACCTGTTCAGCAGTAGAAGCAGAGGCCTTAAGCTCGGCGTTCCTCTCCTACAAAGTGCGGTGGAGTCTACAAATCTGCTGTTCCATGGTCTTGGCTCTGTTTTCTGCTTCCTGTCTGCTTAAAGATTCTTTAGCAAATGACTGCCGTTGAGAAGAGAGGCGGGCGCGGGCTTCCTTCAACTCCGAAGCTAAAGAGACCACGTTGCGCTTGAAGTTTTGTTTCTTCTCATCCAAATCGCTCAGCAACGGATCAATCTCTCGATCACACGAAACCACCAACATCGAGGAGATGGAGGAAGAGGAGGATGGACTTCTTTCAAGAACCGGCATCAGAAGAAGAAGGCAAGCTACGAGGGGAATGAAGATGTAGACGAGCTCTCCTTCCTGTTTGCTGATACACAGAGAATGTGGATCCGAAGGAAGTTGACCCTCTTTCTGTTTCCTAAACTTGTGGGTGTGATTTGCGGGAGGGGAGCTATTTTCTTGAAGATGAAATTTGCTGCTATGGCTGCTGCACGTCATGGGAGTAGTTGCTGCTCATTTAATTCAGCCACCCTCAACAAGTCTAATCACCCATCTGCAAATTATAACATAACAAACAAAAGGGGAAAACCCAAGTAATGATTTACATGGCCATGGCTGGAAGTACAATAAGAAGAGGGTTCTCTGTAGGTCAAGGAAGAGGCAGAGGCAGAGAGAGGTGAAGGTAGAGTGTGTTTGAACTTTGAACTGAATGAATGAGTGTACTCAGCAGAATAAGGTAAAAAATGGTCTTTTCTACGGAAGAAAGGAGAGAAACAGACAACTGAAAGGAAAAAAAAGCAGGGGAAAAGGGAAGCTGGGGTTCCAGGAAATCTGAAATGAAGACGAACCTTTGAAAATTGGAAAGGGAATGGCAAAAGGCGGGAATCCAGGGCGGTCGGTTTTGTCCAATTACCAGAAGCGAAAACAAAAACGAAATCAAAGACGAACCTGCTTACTGCTGCTTCTTTGATGAGCCGAAGAAGAAGAGAAGCTTGGAAGTGGTGGTAATGGCGATCTGGGTCTTCAAATTCGGGGACAGTGGGTGACGAGACGAGTAAGTTATGAACTGAGAATCGAAGTCGGCGGGACAATGGAGAGCTTCTTTGGCTCTACTCAGCTGGAGGAAGGAAGAGGGAGAGACGACAAACAGTACTCTGTCGACTGCATCTGCATATTGTTAGGGTTCTTCCTCTCCCGTATTTGATTTTATTGGTTTAATTTGATTTTCGTTTTTGATGAACAGTCAACCAGAATAGACCTTCAACGCCCGCATTTACTACGCAGCATGGGAGAGAGGAAAGGAAATTATGAAAGAAGACAGATTTTGGATTGAATATAAATTTTTTGACGTCGACGACGGCGATACTGTTTTCCCATTCTCTGCCACAAAATTTAAATTGTAATTAGTGAGTTAATTTAGGGAACAAATCACAAACAGACAGCCTAATACGGGAGAGAGAGAGAGATGGCGTGGTCGGGCACCGTTGGTTCGGGAGCTCCGAGCCTCCTAATCCCCAGATTTGAATGGTTGATAGGACAAAACCCGAACCTTGGGGTTTGCGTCAGCTTACCAGGTTTGAGCTTTTTTCGAGTTTGGGCGCGCCAATTGCAAAATTTTTTTGGGGTCTACCATTATGTTGTGTTGGCAGACGAGAGACGTCAGCTACTCCCACGCGTCTACTCTCACTGACGTAGGATCTTCATCGCGTACCAGTAATATTTTTTTAACGGCGTAACAGTAAATGGACCCACCTGCGGGCCTAAACTTCTGGCCCAAACTATATGATTCTTGAACTTTATGTGACTATCCTATGATCTGTTTAAGCCGATTGGTGCTATTTTAGGGCTCGCTAACCCGGAAATGGTTGAAAAATCATTACTGTCTAGTGCCATGAGTTTGATATGATACAGGTGAAGAAAGCACGAAAAAGAAGCGAGTGCACAAGCAATTAATTGGGCCCAAATCGCTTTGTCTCGGGGAGGAGACGCAATTGGGCCAGGAGGGACACGTTTTTGGGCGGAGGAATTCTTGGCCCAAATGATTTGTCCAGGAAGCAATTAAAGGACGGGCTGGTGATTTTTATTGGCCCAGGAGGATTTTACATGAGGAATTAGGGGGAAGGCAATTAAGCTGGGGACGAGATTCTTTGGAGAAGAAAAAGAGCGGAACGGAACTCTTCTCGGAGAGAATTAGCAGGGCGCAGCGAAGAGAGCTTTGGGACGAGCCGGGTTGGGAAATTGGCGATCAACTTCTCCAAGATGGTTTGAGCTGAGTTCAACGAGAGCGATTATTTGGTTGGATTTTCTGAACCAAATTAGTTGTTTATTGTTGATTTGGAACATGATGATCAAAACCCTAATGTTTTATCTTAATTTCGTCATGAACTAAACCCCAATTTCTGGGGGAAACACCATAGGATGTAGCTATTTCTTGATTTGATGGATTGATTCATAATTCTTTTCTTCCAATCTCTATTGCATGAAATTGCTTAATACTTTGTGTTGACTGGCCACCAATACAACGATTTGTAGTTAATTAGGTTATTAGCGACAGTGAAACCCTAATAACTGAACCTATTTCATGTGACATAGTAACTTATCGAAGCGACAGTGGATTAAATAAGGTACTATGCGGTCTTGATTGGGATATCGTTCTTCAGGCTAAATAGTTAATTCATTGAGCTATGACAGTAGGATTTGAATTAATTGTTTAGTACGTAGTAATTCCCGACAGGGATAGCTAGCACATTCGTGATATCCTGGCTGTAGGGAATTGGATTAAACTGATTAGAATATGTGAATTAATCTGGATAGGATAGGTAGTGAGTCCCGGTGTTTCTCCCAGAGCTTTCTCCCATTGAATTTCTCTCGACCAATTTACTTTGCTTGTTTAGTTGATTTTGCTAGTAGTTAATAATCTCATTAAACCATTTTCACCTATAGTTTGCTCTATTAAATCGGTAAATCTTAAGGTTGTACCAGTCCCTGAGATACGATACCCGGACTTTCCGGTTTTACTACAAGATAGGATTAAGGCATATGCTTTTGCCCTATCAAGTTTTTGGCGCCGTTGCCGGGGACTGCCATATCTTATTTTTATTGATTTTTGTGAGTGAACTATTTTGATCTGGGTGTTAGTTTGCAGAAGAATTTTCAGGTTTATCCTCCTCGTGCATGCCTAGGAGGACGACCGGCGTTTTACTGCCACTAGATCCGGAGATCGAGAAGACCTGCCGACAGAACAGGAAGCATGTCAAGTTAGGGAAGCAACCAACCACAACTCCTAGGCCTTCCCTAACCCAGAGAGGGCGGGCTTCATCACCTGTCGTCCCTACACCACCGACACCGCCACCGCGCATCATCGAGCCAGACATCATGGCAGAACAGGATCATTCGATCAGGGCTCGTCTGAATCGGAGGACTGGAGCCCGAGCTTCATGTGTGGTCATTCCGGCTGGGGATGCAAACATGGAGATTACCCCAGCCTTCATCAATATGATCACTAATGGGTACACCTTCTCCGGGGCCAGCACTGAGGATCCTCATGAACATCTTCGCCGGTTCGCAAGCATTTGTGATACGATGAATAGCCCGACTGTGTCTGATGATGCCATCCGTCTTCGGATGTTCTCATTTTCTCTGCTAGGGAATGCATCACATTGGTTCCAGAACTTGACACCCCGTTCCATCACAACATGGGGTCAGCTTGAGAAGACCTTTTTGGATAAGTACTTTCCTCCGGCTAAGGCAATGAAGAGGCAAGAGGAAATTGTCACTTTTAAACAAGCTGAGGATGAAAGTCTGACCGAGGCATGGGAGCGCTATAAGGAGCTTCTAATGAGATGCCCGAGCCACGGTCTTGAAGATTGGAACGTGATCTCCATTTTCTTCAACGGAATCAGAAGACAATACCGAGATGCTCTGAATAATGCTTCCCGGAATGGTTTCACAAGAATGGAGGCACCAGAAGCATATGAACTGGTGGAGAAGATATGCTCTGAAGATACTGAATGGGGAAGTGAGACCGGCATTCGAAGGAGAGGAGGCTTGCATGAGATAGACAGAGTTGCAAGTCTAGAAGCAAAGATTGATGCTAAGCTGGATTCCAA